CGGAGACGTAACAATAGTATGGGCTACTGACAGTAACAACTATATTATAACACTTCTTTTCAAAAACTAAACGCCACTAAAGATTGCAAGCACTGGATGGGAACTTATTTTTCTTTCATTATGGTCGTTTTATAATTGTCAAAATTTAAATAGACATGTATACATATATATATTTATGAGAAACGAAGCCAAATTATGAATTTGTGAAATATCTATATATATTTTTTGTCATGGTACACAATTACCAGTATTTTCCCCAACACACAATTTCACTCGCGACATTTCCCTTATTACAGCACTACCGTCGACGATCAAGATTTGTTTTGTTACGACAGCGGAGGTCACGTGACCCTAGTAACATGTCATATTCTCGAAGCTTCGTGAATCCTCGGGAGGTTACTAGATGTACGGTATTCTTTTATATAAGACGGCCAAGAAGTGACGGCAACAATGTAATGCTGTGTTATTGAACTGCGGAGAGAGACATGTTGTTGAGCACGTGAGACGTTTGTTGTGAATTATAGCGTTTGTTATAGCGCGACTGTTGAAATTAAGTGTATTGCAAAGTTGTATTCAGAAAGAATAAACCAGTTTTATTTAAGAAAGGACTTGTATCGGTAAAGTTTCTTCGGAAAGAATTTTTACGGAAAATTAACTAACGACCAGAGACGTAACAGTTTGAATTTATACCGTTTCTTTCTCGACCAGTTGTTCAAAATTTTAATGTTTAATTTTATTTTGTTTCAACACTAACTATTACACTACTAATTTCTAATTAATTTAGAACAGATATTTGTGAAAACTCATAAACTAATAACACAACGTCAGTAATGTTGATCTTTGAAAGTATTTAACAAATTTTGAACTTGAAAATGGAAATAATTCTGAGCACATTTCACAATACCATAACGTCTCGCCGAAACTGGCTGGCGGTCACGGGTAATTGCATACCTTTACGTGAATCCAATCTTCACTTTTTATCTGCGTAACAAGATCCATTAAAAATTTTATACGTAAATTTTATATTGGGTAAACACGCTTTTAATATCCTGTTTGCAAGTTTATTTTATCGATTAAATACATATGAATAGTAAAATAATGTTATTTTCTATCCCAACTAACAAGGATTATTTTGAGCGGATACACATGCGCCTGTTTACCTCCGTAACAGGAAAGTAGCCTGGTTTCATGAGAAATTTCAATATGTGATGCAATAAGGAGAAACTTTTTATTGCGAGATAGGGCGGGTTTATTTGGTTGAGAATGTGAGATTAGTCAATTGGATAGCCAGTCGTTGTTGTCGTCATCAAGTTTTTCAGAAATTATTATTAGCTTATATGTCTACAAGGTACAAAGCTGGTGCTAAATTCATGGTAATAGGGGTACATATAGCACTATAAATTTACTGTGAGGCCCTGAAAACAGAATAGTATATAATGGGTTTAGAATAACTGAAGGCTACAATGATTAAAATAATTATGCCTGGGGATTTTACTCCTCCGCTCCTATTCGTACGATAGACGTATTCTTGCTTAAGCAAGTGTGATAAAATCAACTTCGTAATTTTTAGCTTAGATTTTAGAGATTGAAAGCTAAGCTTTCATACAGCGGGAGACATAATTTTTTCGTTAATTTGATTTGATTTCAGTTACTCATAGTAAGCCTAGAAGTTTTGTTGGTCATTACCCTTAACGCCATGAATCCAATTGTTATTTTATTCCTTTCTGCCATAACAATGTTTACTGGTTGTTGTGTGGCAGGAGTTATCCCGCTGGTTGTGACCTTATCAGGGGTAGGTTTTTATTTTATATTATTTTGCTAAAACTACAATATCATTAGGCTCAGTGTAAAGCTTATAGCTAATCGTACTCTGTTAGTGCGTTGCCTTCTACATTTTCATTCTTGTTAAAACCAAACGGACCTAACGTGACAAGTTTAGTTTCAACTATCAAGGGCTCCTAGTGGGACAGCGGTAAGACTACGGACTTACAATGCTAAAATCCGGGGTTATATACCCCGCGTTGGACACATCACACGGCACAATGTTTTTGTTCTAAAACAAACAAACAAATAACTTTCAAGAAACGAAATTAAATATCATATAAAATTAATGTCGTAACTAAGTTCAACAATCACTTTCGACCAATACCTCTTTTAAAAGTCGACGCACACTCATATGATATATAAATATATTATATTACCTAAGCATTCCTAATGGCAAGAGGAACTATTAGCTTCAGACTTCATATCAAAATGACTGAAAATTATAAAACTTATGTACCGCTAATGATGCAAAATGAAATATTCTAAATGAATTTTTAACAAAAGATGGAGATGCACTCACAGCAATAAATTGTGTATGCATACCTACATAATTGTTTAAACAAGCAGCACTGCTTGTAAATTTTGTTTTCGCGTGACCAATAATTATATAAGATTTATTTACGTATGTAATTTTTTTTTCCTGTGTATATGTGCAATGTCTAACTAATCGCAACGTTTTAATTGTTTATATTTGATTAAGTTCAAGTTTGTTTTCAAGCACAAAGCTACACAATGGTCTATCTGTGCTGTGCCCACTACGAGTATCGAAACCCGGTTTTTACTGTTTGAACCCCGAGACTTACAGCTGAGCCATTAGGGGGCGTTGTATTTGATAGTTAAGTTTTGTTTTTTCTCTGTAGCTTTTTTGTTTCTTTGTTTATCTGATTGTGTTTTACACGAAAGACACATAGGTGTTATTTTTGTCATTATAAAACTGGTATTTGATGTCCATGACGTCTAGTCAGTTGCAGTTTCGTTATATTAGTAGTGTATTAGTAGAGAAACGTGGTATTACTCTAATTTTGCATAAAGTTGAAGGTTAAATGAAGTAGATATTATCGTCATTAATATTCCATAATATAGGTGTTTGCTAGAATTAAATTAAGAAGCTCAAAATATAACAATTTATAAGTAGTACACTATGAAACTTCTGTGTACGTGATACGAGGGTCGAGTCCCATTACCGCAAAAAAAAAACGACTCGCACTTTGGATCCGTGGTGAGTTATCAAAGTGACGGTCAAATCCCACTCTTCGTCTGACAAGAGTAGCAAAAGAGTTGGAAGTGGATGGTGTTACCTAACTACCTTAAAATTATGGAGGGCTAATACCGATATCCATCGTGTAGCTTTGCGTGAAATCCAACAAAACCAACCATGCTACGAATTCTACCTCGAATAGCTTTTACCTTTAGGCGGTTCAGGGAGCACTTTAGTCGATGTGGTTGTGTTTACTCCGAGATACGCTTAAATTTCAAGTTGGTGACCTACGTGGATGATAATATAACTTGCAGGGGTCAGAAACTCAAGGTCATCAAGCTAGTAGCAACTCAGGTTTCCCCTAACTAAAGAGCAGTATCTTTGGCTACAGTCTTTCTTGTGTTTCTTGGAAGTATTGAAACGGAAAAATAGTTTTACTATTTCATAAAATGCAAGCCCGATGTCAGTTTTTCTGTGGACTGCTGCAGAGACTTGCAATGAGCCTCTTAAATCTTAACTCAGTTTTATAAGAAATATAAAAAGGAGAATATATTAAAAAAGCAAGAACAAAAAAAAAAAGAAGCACATAAAACTGTTCAAGAATGACAAATTTTTATTCTTTACGAATATTGAAAGCATTTCGGGCTGTGCTGTTCTTCCTTTTCACCTTCCTCCTTCCTATTGCTGCCACTGTTGACTGAAAACATGTTAAGATGTTCATGAAGGTTCAAATAGTCGAGTTACAATAAACGTTTGTTTTCTACTGGAAATTTTATCACTCACACCTTCTGTTATTCATATCAGGTTAGATACTTTGATTATAAGCCGCTGAAATTATTTAACTACCTAAGAATTTGTTTGACCATTTAAGTACGAAACGAAGGAAGTAATATTCTAAAAATGTCCGATTATTTCGTTAAATTTGTTTTTTTGTTTAGTACAAAGCTACGTGATGGACTGACTAACTATGTTTTGCCCACTGCGAATATCGAAACCTGATTTTTATCGTTACAAGTCCTCTGAGCTGAGCTACCAGGAGGGGGGTAAATCGTTTCATCATATCTAAAACTAATTACACCACAATATGTTTGAATGGAGAACAGTTAAACTTATGGAAATCGTCGACGAGGAAATAAATAATGTATAACTGATTGTGATATTTAAATAAATAATGTATAACTGATTGTGATATTTAAATAAATAATGTATAACTGATTGTGATATTTAAATAAATAAAGTATAACTGATTGTGATATTTAAATAAATAAAGTATAACTGATTGTGATATTTAAATAAATAAAGTATAACTGATTGTGATATTTAAATAAATAATGTATAACTGATTGTGATAGTTAAATAAATAAAGTATAACTGATTGTGATATTTACATAAATAATGTATAACTGATTGTGATATTTCGATGTCTAATTCCAATAACTTATGTGTAAAAGTAAAGAAAAATATGATAAAATATGTCAACCACGCTACATCTGCCATATCTAGTGCCGACGAGGCCTTTCGTACGTTATTAGAGGTTATCAAACCGGCTGGGAAACGACAGACATTGTAGTGATCTAGGCGAAATTTCTATCACCAGTTCTCACAAACAATGACTTTTATGGTGTGAACTACGTTAAGTAAGCGAACGATAATTGTTATTAATTTTAGTTAAGTCATTTACAAGTCGTATTTTTAGGGTAAGAACTGATAACACAACGTAATGTTAAATATTTACTTGTGTTGTATATACTAAATCATTTAATTTTATTTACTATATTGAGGCATGTACTCTGTTATAAGGAAATGACAAGTTACTATGCTACTGTATATTACTAACAATGAAATTCTGTATTGTGTTTAATTAAACAGTTTAAATGTAATTAATGTAATGCATTATTGTACACGTAATTTAAAGACGTTGTTGAAAGTCGAACTCATGCATTTAGCATGTTTCCTGTTTTACGTTACCAGCTTTTAGTTTTCAGCATACCTGTGATATTTGAATACATGAATATCATTCTGGTTAAAAGTTAAGCATGTATAATATTCGGGGTTAAGAAAAAATACGTTTCACAGGTTACGTATACAACGAAACGGCCGGTAGCAGTGAAGTGTTGAGAAAACTATCTAACAGTAAACTAACAAAGATACCTTTTTGCCACTTAGTGTTATTAATTTCATGTAGTCGCTCATATTAATTTTATCAAATACAATCTAAGTTTTAACATAAAAAAAAAATTAAATTCTTTATTATTCTAACTTTCTGCTATAATAACAGGCTGTAATGAACATTCAAAACCAGATGTACAAAACAATGGTGATAGAAATTCAGCTATCAAGGGCTAATAAGCAAGTTACATCAGCTAGAGTACGGTGTCAGACTAGTTCTATTCATAAAACAATATAAAAGGTTGGTTGGTACTTAGTCAAATTTGGTTCGTTAAAAGTGCATCTTTGTATTCTTTTCTGAGTTCAGAATAACATTATGTTGTTGGTTATGTCAAATGCTTGCATTTACAGGCATGTTCAGAAAGGTTTAATGCACTGGGCCTGTGTTCCTGGTGGTTACTAAGATCCTTCCTGTTTCCCCAGTATAAACGGAATTGCACTCATGTACGTCCGCAGAATCTATTCTTGATGAGTGCAAGGCATTTCCTTGAAGTTTGAATGCGATGCTTTAGTTGGTTTATGTACACCTAATTTCCTTATTTATATTTAAATAATTTATTTTCTAATACAGTTATTTTAATAAATTTTCTTCTGAAATCTCAGGGGGGGGGGGGGTAAATACCCCATGCTCCATCCCGTGGACTCCCATGAGTGCAGTATTTGTATTTTAATCTGATTCATTATTGGTATGTTTGTGATCGTATTTATTTGATAAAACGCTGCTTATAGTAGAACTGGAAATGAATTAACATTTTGATTCTATTTCAGCGTTATATTCTTTTATAAGATGGTTTTACATTCTTTTTAAACTCGTCGAAAAATCCGGAAATAAATAGCAAAGTGCAAAAACCAATAATTTTAACAACAATAAACAGAGTTTATAAAATAATTTTCTGCTTTTTATATATATATATATTTTGTTTATAGAATGGTTCCTCGCTCTACAGGGGGCCCGGCATGGCCAGGTGATTAGAGCACTCGACTCGCAATCTGAGGGTCGTGGGTTCGAATCCCCGTCTTAGCAAACATGCTCGCCCTTTCAGCCGTGGGGGCCTTATAATGTGACGGTCAGTCCCACTATTCGTTGGTAAAAGAATAGCCCAAGAGTGGGCGGTGGGTGGTGATGACTAGCTGCCTTCCCTCTAGTCTTACACTGCTAAATTAGAGACGGCTAGCGCAGATATCCCTCGTGTAGCTTTGAGCGAAACTGAAAAACAAACAAACAAACACTCTACAGGGGTATTTTACATTGTGATAAAGAGTTTTAAAAATATTCAATTTTTGGTTCATCATCGTGGGCGGATGATGAAGGAACATAAAAATTCGTATATGTGCTTTTCCTAAACACTGATATAAGAAAATAATATTCACATTTCGCAACCATCGCATTTAGACCTGATGATGCTGACTTAACCAAATGAAACCTAATAAACTTAATTTTTCTTAACCCTGCCTTTAAGCCGTGTTTAACTTTTTGTGTTTCATACAAGTTTTTTTATTTTATTTAATATTATGCGTCAAGTTCCGTTTTGAAAAGGAATTGCGTTAGATTCAGCGTAATACAATTACACAACAGACATGACGGGTAAAGTCCAGTTTCAGTTCTGCGAATTGACTTTTGTACTATGTTTTGTTTGTTTCAAAATTCTTTGTAAAGCTTTACAAGAGTATCTGCGCACAACCGTCCATAATCTCATATTTCTGTACTATGGACAGTATGTTTTAATAATTTAATTTGTTAATTTTGCCTTTTGTCTGTACACCAATAAAAGATGGAATTTAGAATTATGTAGCTGAAAAAAACCCAATAAATAAACAAAAACAACAACGTTGAAACACCATTTGTAAGAGAAAACATTTCTTACTACTTTTGTAGTGGGAGAAATTCTGGAGAATTTTATAAAAGAAGCTTTGCAAAATCGTCCTGTTAGATATGATAACATAAAAGAAGATCAACATGGATTCTCTAAAAAAAATTCTCCCTTAGTAATCTGTTAACTATTTTTGAGGATGTTACGTGTTGTATGGATGACCGAAAGTGTGTAGACTTGTGCAATTAAAATAAGGTGCCACAAAAAAGGATTAACCAAGAAAATCACATGGTGAAAATTAAGGTACTACAGAATGCCTTGGATCAGTTGAATCGTTGGATAAATGTTTGCCAAATCATCTTAAATTATAGAAAGTGCAAAATAATGCAATTGAGTTATCGCAACTTGGATCACACATTTAATATAGACGGGAACTCACTCTGTTGTTTGACTGTAGAGAAGATTCTTGGCCTGTTGGTGGATAAGTCACTCAAGCCAGCGAGGCAATGCTCTGTTGTTATCAAAGCTAATATAATTTCAGGTCTAGAATTTACTTATAGACATATTGACTACAAATCAAAAGAAGTAATTATATCTTATACAAATCACCAGTTAGGCCTCACTTGAAATGCTGTGTACAGTTTTAATCTTATTATAATATAGAAAGGATATTGACTTGTTAATAGAGGGCTACTAGGATGATTCCGGTAACAGAATGGTTATGTTATGGGGATATGTTAAGATCTCTTAACTTATTTTTTCTTGAAAAAAGAAAGGTAAGAGGTGATCTTATTGAAGTTTAGAAGATTATATGCGTTATCGATAGCATAAAGATATCTGATTTTTTTGTACCATATTCTGCGAGATGACATAAGTTCAAGATTTGAAAAAGACAGGCTAAACTCTAGTTAAAGCAGATTTATTTTTCTAACAAGGTGATTGGCTTATAGAATGAGTTGCAGTTGACATTATTGGAGGCCAACACATTACAAATTTTTAAGAAGGGAATTAACAATTTCTTGAAATTAAGTTGTGGATTTGAGTTTTCATCTTTTCTCAAGGCTGAGTGTGCAGGGTTAACCTTGAAGGATCAAGTTGTCTCTTGCTTTCCGTGTGTTGTGTCCTTTTAACTAGGGTTTTAACATTTTTCAACTTTAATGCTTCTAACTTGTTTTTACCAGCACTGATTATCTTAACTTTCTTTTTTCTCATTAGTTGAGATAATTGTAAAGGGTTTCCATTACTGGAGTGAGGAGTAGGCGAGCCTGTACTTTGGTCAGTGTTACGCTCTTCAAGCACGCAAATCAATCAGTCGAATTAAAATCTAAGCTTTTATAATTTAATATTGACATACAAGTTGTTGTGAGGGTTTTTTATATCTGTATTAAGAAGTGATTGTTTACCATATCGTTAGATACAGATTTGATTGCACAGCTACTAAATGCTAAGTTATAGGTATACGTATAAAATTGCCACGTGTTTCGTTTAGGTATATTGCAGAGTTACCAACTATGTAGGCTTGGTACAGTTATCGTGTTTATTTCCAGTACACAGATAGTTTGTGTGTCGTTGTGATATCTACAGTCTTATCATGTTCTTAGTTATAGGTAGAGTACAGTGTTACATTGTTCTGAAGACATGCTACCACCATTCTTTGTGGGCACTACTGTCCTTCTGGAAAAAAACCGAATACCTATGGGTAACCTTTGTCAGACAACTCAGTTGGCTACATAACGCCATGTTAATAAAAGCTACCAAAGGCATCAATGCAATTAAAGTTGCGGTAGAAAATAGAATATCATCTGCTTATATACTATCAAAGTTTTATCCACTTCATCCTGAATTATATACTACGGATGATAAGTATGAGTGGTATATAGCTAGATAAGAATGAGAAAATACAAATTAATTGTTTAATACTTGTCATGGGATGTATTTCAGCCACCCCCATTAAACCCTATTACACTTCATAAACTTCAGCAACATTGCAGAGCACCAATAGTGCTTACAAACAAAATTTTTCACTAGGACCCTGTAGTGTAAAGGCCATCATTCCATCATTGAGCCAATGCACCTTTCAATTGAAACACTTCAGTTCCATAATGACCCTGGATACACCAACAATGCAGAGGATTGGTCTAAAAGATGCATAAGGAGACAGTCATAAGACGAAAGGTGCTACACAGCCATCACTGAGTCAAATGTTATTGTTTGTTATTGAACACAAAGCTGCACAAAGAGCTATCTGTGCTCTGCCCACCATGAGTATCGAAACCCGGTTTCTAGCAGTGTACGTCCACAAACATACCACTGTACCACTGGGGGGCCCACTGAGTTAAACCACCACAATCAGATCTCAGATACCCCCATCTGAAATAAATATCAGGCGATCTCTGGAAATCGGACTATATCAAAAATGCAGAAGTTGAGAAGAGGGTGAAATAGAAATATCCTGCCAGCACCTTTTTAAAGACCACGGAGGACAATTACCTGTCATCACAGCTACATATGGTTCTTACGCCATAGATAACCAAAGATCTGGTTGAGCATTCAGTGTCTCGTGGAGCAACAACATTCTGCGTAAGGCTGGTGCAGAGTTCACTCTTCAAGCAAATAGCACAGGTATGGAACTGGAAGCCATAAAGTAAGCTCTCCTATGGATTGATGAAAGCAATGAACTGCAAACAGACAGTACCATCAACATAATATTTGCGACTGATTCGCAGGCGGTACTGTATAAAATTTAGAAGAATTGGTCCCCAGATGGATAACAGAAAGCAAAGCAACTGTGTGGTCAAACCATCACTTGGATGTATGTGCAAAACCTTGCAGGTATAAAGCTAAATAAATCAGCTGACAAGTTCGCAAGAAAAGCCTCCTTATCAAACCTTACACAAAACTACTAGCAAGATGTCGACCTCCTTTGCACTAGTAAGATGAAAGTGACAACTATGAAAGTTTTTCATCGACATTCAGAATAAATTAGATTGCAGTAAAACAAAGTATTGTATGGTGTAGCTAGGAGAAACAAAAGACGAGGAATTAATAGAACAGTAAATAACCAGAAGGACCCTAGTAAAATCTGTCAAGGAACTCTGTTCCGTCTTCTCTGAGATAGTCGCCCAACATATGAAGTGTCAGTGTCTGGAGTGTCACCTAATACTCAAATTAACGGCTAAATGCTAAGCCTTTTACTCACAAGAATTTTATTTCTGAGTTTTAGGGTTAGATAGTATTTAATGGTATATAAGTCTAAAACATTTATATTTAGATTGTAGAATACATTGACATAGGTAAGTTGTTTCACAGTAATACTGTTCTACTATTGACAACGTTGTTCCAATTAAATTAACCCTGGTTCACGCCGTAACAGTCGTTGTTCATGAAAATTGGTCATGTGAATATCGCTTATACTGCAGCTATGTCTGTCGTATTCCAGCCGTTATGATGAGTCTTGGTATTATGCAAAAAGTCTCATCGGCACTGGGCATGACAGATGTATTGTAGTTAACATGTTTTAATATATTCTTCTTTGCTTTCACTCGTAAGTTATTGGAACTAATATTAATAACTACATACATAGTTGTACAAACTGAATACATTAATCTAATTTGTTTTTTCATGTTGAAGATGTGTTTTTGCTTGATAGGAATCAGGCCTCGTGGACCTCGATGAAACACAGTAAGTTTACGGACTTACATCGCTAAAATCCGGGTTTGAATCCCCATCACCGAACATGCTTGCATTTTCAGCCGTGGGGGTGTTATAATGTTTCAATCAATCCCACTATTCGTTGGTAAAAGAGCATCCCTAGAATTGGCAGTGGGTGGTGTTGACTAGCTTTCTTCCCTCTAGTCCATCATTTCCAAATTAGGGACGGTTTGCGCAAATAGCCCTCGAGTAACTGCGCGAAATTCAAGCTAAACCAAACAACTTCCAATCTGTTATAATGTATGTGTTTAAGCTGAAGCAATTTACTTTTTTGTTTGAATTTATGCACAAAGCTACGCAATGGGCTATCTGTGCTCTACCCACCACGGGTCTCGAAACCCGGTTTCTAGCGTTGTAAGTCCGCAGACATACCGCTGTGCCACTGGGGGCAGCAAGCTACTTAGCTGTCCTTTGTACAAAATATAATATTTGTTTTCTGACGTGTAAAGAAGTTACAAGTTGCATTGTAATTGTTCTAGAGAGCCAACAAGAGTGAAAAGTTAAGCATGTTTATTTGAATTATCAAAAGTGAATAGTATGCACTTTTTATTTTACAAGCCAAAAACAAGCAGTAGCTCACAAAGACGTTGTTGTTGTTTTCTTAGTGCAACCTACACAATGAGCTATCTCTGCTCTGTCTACCGCAGGGCATCGGACCGCAGATTGTGGTGCTATAAGTTCGGAAACTTACCGCTGGGGGACTTCCAAAGATGTCAACTTTACGTTTATGCATCTTGCATTGAGTTATATAGGAAACAATTTTTAGTGATAAGTTTTCCCATAACACATCGATAATTTTTTAACATTCAAATAACTCCCGGTTATATGATTTCCGTTGTTTAATGTTAACCAGTTTTAGAAACTTTGCATTTCTTTTTTTTTTTCTTGCTGTTTACTTACATGTTTGTAATTAGATTAAGATACGCGGTTATTAAAGAAACAGTATTTTCATTTGAAATCTAGAGGAAACTACAGTTAGTGTCGGTGCTTGGTGCTGGCCTATTAGTTGGAACTGCATTATCTGTAATAATTCCTGAAGGTGTCAACACACTGTATTCATCACATTTAGGTAGGTTTATCTTGATGGATCTGTTGACTAGTTTTAAATAAATTTGTTATTGTTATAAATAATGTAACATCCACGAAAGGGAAACATGTCTTTCAGACTTAGAGTAATATTTTACAGAACCCACACTCTACTGGTGAAGCTGTAGTATTTTCAGGTCGAACTGATTTCTCTTATAGTCAGCCGCTAAGTAACAGAAGATTCTAGCAAGATAACTATCACGAAGTAATTCTGAGTTATCTGAGTAACTGAGTCCGTGAGAAGGAAATAGAGATACTGAACACAATTGTACAAAACTAAAAGGAACAATGTATGTTCTATACACACTTTTACAGTCGCTTTTACTAAAGAGCTAGATCTTAAATTCTTTTCTCTCTCAAGGTTTGTTCCAGACTAACTAAACCTTATGTTTCTTACTTAAAATGGTAACTTCAGACTTACTCAAAGCGACTAGCGCTAACAAGTAACTTATCATCCCCATTCAAAAACAGGGAGGCTGTAAACTTGAGGTAACACCTGATTTACCACTGTTCACTTTCATACACATGGTGCAGCTGTACAATCATAAGTCCCATGTTATTTCAAGGGCATGGCAAAGAAGAAAGGTTACTAGAATGAAAGCAACTCAACAACTTTTTTAACACATGTTCTGTGAAAACTACACATATCTAGAATAAATGAAACATCTCGCAATTTTGTGTATTAAAACAAGAAAGTAGAAAACGCATGGTATGTCTGTATATCACAGAGCAACCTTGTTCTTAAATCTCGGCCAGTCTAGACTCGTTTTTTACGTTAACTGTCACATTACTGAGAATACACAAAAATATACAGCAAGGTGAACATAGGTGTAAAAATCCTTCACGTCAGATTTGATGTTTTGGACTTAGAGAGGATTTAACGAGGCTTCTGACTTACATTAATACTATTCTTGAACACATTTGTTTCGTATGGTAATTTTGGCATCCTCACATCTATTATTAAATTTCGCATCCTTAGCGTTTTAAATTTATTAATAATTTAATTTCTCAAATCATTCATTTAAGGATTATTTTCCTCCCTTTAGAATATCACTTAATCTTTAGCTCTCTGATCTACACTTCTCTAATCTTTTTAAACTCAAAATCATTCATTTAAGAATTATTTTCCTCCCTTTAGAATATCACTTAATCTTTAGCTCTCTAATCTTTCTAAACTGTACTTTAGAATATCACTTAATCTTTAGCTCTCTAATCTACACTTCTCTAATCTTTCTAAACTGTACTTTAGAATATCACTTAATTGTTAGCTCTCTAATCTACACTTCTCTAATCTTTCTAAACTGTACTTTAGAATATCACTTAATCTTTAGCTCTCTAATCTACACTTCTCTAATCTTTTTAAACTGTACTTTCCAAGAAAATTGTAGTTTGATCCAGGTATAACAAAACAAATCTCTACCAATAAAGATGTAGTACGTAACTCTAACGGTTGAAGATGCAACTGAATGTTAATATTAGGATTCATTTCAATATTCTCTTGAATAAACTTATAGATGAAAACACTTTAGTTTCATTCTTAATTATTAATAAAATAGAAAGTTTGAATGATCACGAAGTTTTAAATAACAAAAAGTTTGCTTATTTTTTGTGGTTAATCCGGTTAGTCCAAAAACTTCTTATAACAGATTGATGAAGGCTTAGCTCGTATAGTATTAGCTCATCATAGCTTTCTAAAAAGTAATGCTATTAGATTATTATTTAATGCAGAAAATGATCAATAATTCTTCCTTACCATTATCATTAGAATAGTATAAATAGTCATTAAGGCATTGACAAATTACTAACCAACTAGCCATTTTACCCATTATCATTGTTTTAATGTTGTACGTTCATTCACATGACTAATATTCAAATTGTAATTATTATTTACACTAGCGTATAGCTCGTCAAAAATGACCCACCCATAGTATACCCTAACTTCACATTTTATACCTAACTGAAATAAATAATTTTTGCGAAATCAGGCTTGACCAACAAACAGTCAGAAAAGTGCAATCGAGGCAGTCAAACGTCCCATATGAACATATGGGAATTTCCATTAAAACGCAAAAAAAAAAATGAATAACACCTGTGTTTCCTCTATACGCCAACACAGTTAAGAAACAGGATATCAACCTATACTATCAAATTT